GGTGTAAAAAAGTGCGTCTTATACACCGAAAAATACGGTAAGTATTTTCCTACCTATGGTCTTAGCTGACAAATTAGTTTATCTACTTAGACTCTCTGTTTTTATTTTAGACATGTTATTTATAGTCAGATTTTTCGTGTGATGTATTCGTCTGCTGTTATCTTTATCTTCGATCCACGACCTTCTTTCTATACTCACCTTCTGTTGATTTTGAGATAACCAAGAAACCCACTACCTCTTAGTACTATTGTAGCACATTCTCAATTTTTTTTTAGTTTTCCACGACCGAAGATGTTTCTCAGCTATCTCACGCTTCTCTTTCTCATGATGTAAGAGTATTTGTTTTTTATTTATTTCACTTCTGAGTGGATAATTTACTTTATTTAATTAAAAATATTAAGAACTATAAAACAATAGAGAAGACCATAGACCATGGAATATATATATAAAAATATTACACTGGGGTGCTGAGGGTTCAGCAGAATCCACTGGCTTAACGTACAGGGGTGATATGCACCTGCGGTTTTATTAACATATTTTAACACAATAGTAATAACCGAATACACAACTTCCATCATATATAGGGTTTACAGTTTCATTAAATAGCTTTCAGCACCACCACTATAAAAAATTGCCAGGTGGTTAAGGAGCTCGACTCGCAATCTGCGGATCGCGGGTTCGAATCCCCGTTCCACAAAACATGCTCACTCTTTCCGCCATGGGGGTGTTATGATGTGACGGTCAATCTCACAATTCGTTAGTAAAAGAGTAGCCCAAGAGTTGGCGGTGGGTGGTGATGACTAGCTGCCTTCCCTCTAGTCTTACACTGCTAAATTAGGGACGGCTAGCGCAGATAGCCCTCGTGTAGCTTTGCGCGAAATTCAAAAACAAACAAACAAACATAATTAAAATCGGTGATAATGCTAGAAATGACGTACATTTTGTAGAGTATTAACAAAGAAAATATATTACTAATGTGTATGATATGGATCTATAAAGCAACTGTGAAAAAAAAAGATAATAATATCATCTAGCAAATATATGATAATGAACTCTAAAATAGTCACACATATGTAGTACGTCAACTTTCAACAGGGTCTTACTATTGGAATTTTGTTCTCAAGGAAAACTTCATCTATAATAAGAACAAAACTGAAATGAAATATGAACTTGTATATTGATTTTTAATTTTAAATTCAATGTCTTCTTTAAAAAACTATGGTTCATTTATTTTATAAGCTCTTGTTATTAGAATTTGTTTAAATCATTTCTTGAGCGAAGTACAATCCTCTAGGAGCAGGAACATGCTATAATCTTCGCTTTTAAAATTATCAGAAGATTAAAAAACAGAAATACGTTACTTCACGCGAGGTTCTTTACAAAGAAAGTGTATTTCTTTAGATGGCAGATGAAAATATTTGCTTATTTCTCTGTTGTTTTTTTTCTTTCAGTTTCATCACAAAATGGATATTTCGATCATTAAATCATTTATAAAACTGCTACACCGAATATAAACCTTACTTGACGAGTTTTTTTTTTTTGTAGAGTAAAATATTTAATCTTTGTATCTTTCAATAAAATCGCTTCAGTAATGCACTCTCAACAGGTCTTGGCGGCAGATATGTTCACGATTTTCTTCTCAGCTAATATGCATCACTTGACAAATGCACTTGAAACTATTTAAATAGTGTTTCAATGTATTAGGTTGTCAAGAAATTAATGCTTTCATTAACAACCCCCCCCAAAAAACGTACATCACGTATAATAGTTAAATGAACCGCCTAAAACTTCCATTAGTGTAGCCTTTATAATGTGTAAAGTTTAGTTTTTCTCTAATCCCTTATAGTGATGGCACACGACGAAACAGAATTCGGTATGTAATGCTGTTTTAATACGAGAAGGAAACAACGCCTCTGCAACCACAAAGAATATCAAAGAAGGTTTGGTTTGTTTTTGAATTTCGCGCAAAGCTACACGAGGGCTATCTGCGCTAGCCGTCCCTA